AAAGGGCATTGCCAATTTATTGATGCTTCAGTATTTCAAACAGTAATGCCTATCGGAACTATTTTTGCTCTCAATTATTTATTTCATTTCCCCCCAATCATTAAATATATATATATATATATATATATATATATATATATATATATATATATATATATATATATTTGGTTCATGTGGTGCCACTCTCGCTGAGAATGATGTCCTATAATCTATCCCCTGGATTTCAGTACCTGATGTTGCGAGATCAGGTCATGTGGCAGCAAAAGCATTGGGATCTTGAGCCTCCGATCCTGCAAAACAAGGAGGATTATTATTTACTTCGTTGAAGTAACTTTCCGATGATTCAATCAGTACTGGAAAAAAAGTTATGAAGGGTCTTTTTGACTTCAGAAAGTGTATTAGCATTCTCCTTCTCAAAGATAGAATTTTTACGATTAAGAGAGATAATTTTCCTAGAGTAATAAATGAAGAAAACATATAAACTTTTCGGAAATGAGAATTCATCATATAGTAGAGGAGAATGCGTATTGAATTAATAATCTACATTGGATGAAAGAATAAAGTATTAAGTAGTTTATTTATTTATCTATTTTTTCTCTCAACGAAAACCATGCTCCTTATTTAATTTGAATTCCATGACTTAAATTTAATAAATTTTATCAGCTTATTCCCATAATTATACCTATAGTAATGTTGCATACTAGTAGTCTAGCTAGGTAGCTAGTAGATATTTGGTTGTATTTGTACCTCGATCGTGCGACACTTTATTAAGACACCCTTTGGCAAAAAGGAGTTAACGACGAGACATAAAGATTAAGGATATGATCGATATGTTTGTTGAGAAATTATTAGATAGATTAAGAGTTTTATTTATCTCTCTCCCGTAAATATAGTTTCTATTTGTGCGTGTGACAGACATGAATATAGTTTTTGTCATGTTCAATAATTTATCATGTTTGCCATGTATTTGCCACATTTGTCTAGTACGGATAATTTCTATAGGGCCGGGTCGCTTTTTCTTATTGAACATGACAAAATCTCTTTAGATAGGGAAGGTAGAGGCATTAAAAGAGGTGTTGGACCATATTGCGCAGCACAAAACACAATAGTTGAAGCACAATGGACAAAAGATACAACTCATATGGAAAGATGCAAGGGTGAAATTAATTTGGAACGCATGAAGGAAAAAGGTGGAAAGAGCAGATTGTCATCAAAATTGGCAATGCAGATTCGAGTCTCCCCTCTTCTATCAAAAAAACCTCGAGAAGCTAGATCTTAGGTCGGCTAATAATCTGAGGCATTGGAATTCAGTGTCTCAACCAAAGGGATGGATAGCACCTATTTTATTTTGTTTGAATAGATAGATGCATTGGATGCTTTAACTTAGGCCCTGCTCCTGAAGAGACATGTCAGGTTTAGGGTTTCGTTCTTGGGCTGAAACTGCACAGTTGATAAAATGCACATTGTGAACCAGACTTGTTTGAATAATTGGGCCCAATGTCGTTTTTTTTAAAAGACTTTATTTATAATGAAAGGAAGAAAGAGTTATTTCTAGTTCGATCCTAAATGACCGAATTTGGTAAATGAAAACGTGAGTTTGAAGTCTCTTTAGAGGGTTGAGGGTTTGCACATACAATTTCTCTAATTCCTCAGCTTGTGTCCTTCTCGTTATGTTTTCCACAGAAACGTTGGAAGCTATATGATCCAGTTCTTACGTCCTTTAATTTCTTGCTGTCTTCTTCATCGTAGGCTCACCTCTTATACTCTTAAAATTTGACCTAATTGTCGCCTACTTGATGGCAAGGAATCAATTCTATAAATATAAATCAGCCCTTCCCGTTTCGTCAATCAACAAGAACCCCGGCCATTCGTTGTCAATAAACAAGGAAAGTAGCACTAATCTAGCGAGTAATTTTTTTTTTTTTTTGGGAATCAAGAAAATTCAAAATTAGGAATAATATTGTCAAATAAAAATTCGAAGATGAATTATGGTATAAATTTCTTCTCATTCCATTGTGAATACACAAGGATGAGTTGGTAGATAAGATAGAGAGCGAACACTTCACAGGATAGTTAGGTTCTTAAGGAATTTTTTGTTCCACATTTGTTTACGTAGTTGATAAGATCATAAATTGCATGGTAAGATTGTCTTACCGTTATTTTTATCCTAATTTGCACTCGTTGGTTGATTGGTGATTTTGTTCTATGTGGTAATTGTGGGAATTACTTGTAACCACATTTCGTCCTTTCAGATTTTTATAAGTGATGAATTTTCAATTTTTAAATCATTATAAAATGCATTGATATCCATCTGGTTAAAGATCGTAAAAATATATATTATATATTGTATAGAAATATATTGTCGTAAACATTAGAATTTGTTAACTATTAATTTGTTCTCTAAAGTAGTCTTATATATAGAAATAGAAAGGCAACGGAGTTTGGCCAGTTAAAAGTTTTTTTCATGTTTGTTTCTGATGCTATGTTTAGGAAATGCAGAAAGATCATATATAATGGTAAGAAAGAAACTGAGGTGAAAGGAAATTAAATTAGATTTTTTTTTTCAAGGATGAGATCATGAAAATTGAAGGAAGAAAGTAGTGTTTTCTTTTAAATATTTTTGAAACAACAAAAAATGGGAGGAAAAAGAGAGATGCAAAAGATTTCGAAGGGACAATCAACAAACCTAGAAGGGACGAGATGGAGACATTCTAAACAAGGAAACCTACCATAGCTAGGATGCCGAAGCCCAGGCCTTAGCCATTGGGATACGATTATGACACAAGCTAAGGGATTGCACAAAGAGCGCACATCGACACAAGCACAAGCACGACAACTTAATGCCATGTAAGTGCTTGCGTTAAGCTCTCATAGGAATCCCTAAGCCCGTTTCTACGTCTCGATTGCATCGGACCGACCACTTGCATACCCACCTTTGCCACCCGATTAAAAAAATTGATGCCCAAGCCTTGACTCGTCAAGATACGATTGCGACAAAGGCTCAAGGATTGCGTTGAGAGCACACGCGTTGGCATAAGCACGACAACTTAAGGCCAGGCAAGCGCTTGTATTAAGCTCTCATTGAAATCCCCAAGCCTGCCACTACATCCCGATAGCATTGGACCGGCCACCTATGCACCGACCTTTGCCACTTGGCTCAAAACGTCAATGCCCGGGCCTTGTCCGTTAAGATACAATTACAACCAAGGCTTGGGGATTGCACGGAGAGCAAACGCGTCGACATAAGCACAACAACTCAATGCCACGCAAGCACTTGCATTAAGCTCTTATTGGAATCCTCAAACTCGTCGCTACATCCCAACTGTGTTGCACTGACTACACCTATACACCCACCTTTGCCACTCGACTCAAAAGGACAAATTGAAGAGAAGTAGGATTTGAATCAGTAATCTCTTATTGTAAGAGATAACTATTACTGGATTACACTCTGTGATTAGAAAGAGCGATAATTATCATGATATATATGCTTAATGCTTTAGTTTGAAAATGACAATTAGCTTTTAATATGAATAAGATTAATTACATAATTAAGTTGATTTTCCACTCACCTTCTCCAAAACAAAGAGAATGGAAAATATTGGCCTATTAAAAAAAAAATTCTTTCCGTTTTCCTCCCCTTCCGATTTTCCTGTTCTTTTCAAATAAGAGGAAATGTCTTGAAACAAACGTGAAAAAAACCATAGAAAACTTGTGGTCAACATGAGCTTTAATGATGGCCACAAAGACAACGGATCAGTAGATACCCCAATTCTTCATCTAATTAGGCTTTTCTAACGAAATAAAAGACTAATTAAGCTAGAGAAAAATTTTGTTGGAAAAATTTCCTAATTGTTATAGAAATTGTATATAGTATTGCTTTATACGACTAGATTAAAAACGTTTAAACTAAGTATTTTTCTATCACTCTCTTCATTAAAAACGTTTGCAATATTTTTTTTTCTAAATTTTTATATCAGAGGGATAAGTATGCATTTATCAAATAACAAAATGAGATTGATATTGCATTTTCACAAAATAAAAAATTATTCAATTTTATTTTCTGTTAACGTCATAGAATATTAATGATATATAGAAATCCAAGTCATGAATAAGAAATTAGCTCGAAGAACATCAGTGCATGGATACGTGGAAACAGTGACGAGAGGCAGAGTAGACGTACAGTAGACGATATGACAAAAACGCATCAACATGTGATTTGCCTTTGCTAGTTGATGCATGTGAGTGATCGTGACGTTGGAAGGACACTAATTAGTGCTCCTGGCTTGGCTTGCAGAGGGGTCCCTAGCTATTCTCTGCAGTTTTTTATTTTTTTCCAATATTAAAAAATAACTTAAGATATTTCTTTTATTCATCCATTTTGAGAAAAAAAATAGATATAAAAAAACTTACATTCAAATTCATAAAAAATAATAAAAATATTTTTATTTAACCTTAATTTTTTTTAATTCTCTCTTCAAATTTTCTTTCCTTTTTAAGTACTGATAATTATTTTTATAGTAAGAAAAAATTTCTTATAATTTTCTTATCCCAGCTGGATGAAAGGCTTAAGACTTGGGAGTAGAGACACACATGCCGAGACAACAATGAGGAAAGAAACACCGTACCATGAAGGAAAGGTCGGGTTATTTTTAGGAGCAAAATAACTACAAAACCTTAATCGCGAGGTAACTTCCTAGTGGCGTTATATATCAGGAATGCGACAGAGAGGATTTCACGGGCTGGAACTTGGTCGATAAAATTCAATACAAAACCATGTCCTACCAGATAGATAGATATATATATATATATATATATATAGAGAGAGAGAGAGAGAGAGAGAGAGAGAGAGCGTTGTACACCTGATGATGATGCAAACAAATATCTTGTAAAATGATCTGATGACATACCAACTAACAACTTTTACCTGCCGTTCAATGGCTTTCCTTGTTTGTCCACACTGAAAATAACTCGTAAGATTTTATGTTTTAACATCTTATACCCTACAAGTCAGCCAATCCATTTTCCAGTTCTATAATACCTACAGAAAATTCTAAAGGCATTGGCCTTATGTATAATGCCTTTCCCAAAATAGTTTCTTTCCTTTTTCTGAGACAATTTTTATTATTTTTCAAAACAGTTTACAGGGAATATTGACAGGTCAAAGTAGAGTGATTCTGGAGCCTGATCATTGGGTTTCATAAATAATTGATTAAATTATGACCAAATCTCATTAAGCACGTACGCACTTAATGTGGGTACACAACAATATCATTACTCCTTCCGTCTTAAAAAATATTATCATCTTTTACTTTTTACTTTTTATACAAATTGAAAATTATTAATTGTTATGAATAATTTTTTTTTTCTTATTTTTCTAAAATATTTGGTTTTTTTGAAAAAATTAATCATTAAAATGAATTTTAATTAAAAATGTTTTAAAATAATATGTCATTTAGAATTTTGATATGATAAATATTTTGAAATATATATATATAGAGAGAGAGAGAGAGAGAGAATTTTTTTAAATCAAGAGAGTAATTTTTTTTGAGAAAACCAAAACGGCCCTTGACATCGATCTCTCTTTCTAGGTAATGTGATTTCCTTATTGATTAGACACCAGTCACAAATACATACGGTTTAATAATCGATGTTTATTAGAGGGATTCTTATTTGCCCGATACATTTAAGTACACCACTGTTCAACCCTATAATCACTTGCTTCTAGCCACGCACGTGATTATTATAATAACTATGTCACTACTGTTGTCTTTTTTATAGTCATTACAATTTCTTATTCTTTCAATTTTTTTTAAATTAATTATTAAAAATTCCAAATTTTGTTATTAGCCTAAGCACATTCTTCCATTTTTATTTCAAGCTTTGTATTTATTCACTACCACAATTATTATATTAATAATTTATCATTAATATCATCACTGCTGATTACTAGCTACATGATTGTTATAACAATTATTAGCTACCTCTATTGTTATTGCCACCACCTTCGTTGCTATGATTTCCCTCTCTAGAAGTTATTTTGATTTCTTATTATTATTATTTTCATTTTCTAAAAACATTCAAATTTCATTCTGATTTTGAATTGCTATTGTGACACGTTCTTCTACTTTCATTTGAAACTTGATATTGCTTGTATCCAAACAATCTTCTTAAGTAATTTAGTAAAACTTCAAACCTTGGCATGCAATTCGGGATAAATTTTAGGAGGCTGGATTAATTAAGGGACTTCTCAAATTCCGAGGGAGTTCGTAGAATTTAAAGACCTCTCTAAAGCTTCAAGAGAATCGTACCATTCCATGCATGCACTGAACATGAAACTCTACTCATTGAATTTGATAATGAAGAACTAAGTGATCGAGGCTAAATTTAAAGGGTTAATAAAATACTTAAGAGAAACCTCCTATCTTAGTTAAGAGAAACCTCCAATCTTAAAAAGCTGTATTATAATATTTTTATATCTATAGCCATTCTTATATTGGAATCCAATATTTTTATTCCATATTTTATATCTACAGCCACTTTGAAGAGCCATTCTCTTCCATTCCAATCCAGATCCATTCTGTAACTCAAGATCATCAAAAATAGATGGATAAACTCCAGACCCATAGGAATTAGGACCCCTGCCAGCCAATAGATTGGCCTATCACAGTCCAAAGCCTAGATTGGGGGAGCGAAACTTGAGGTTGTGTGCAATCCATGGGGTCAGGGTTGAAGACTGGTGGGTACGAGCAGAAAGATAGTGGACAGCACAGGAAGACAGATCAAAAAGTTGAGTTTGCCAAGAGATCTGTAGCGGGTACCTAACAAGGCCACTTGCTTCGCAGCAAGGCACTGAAGTTCTAGCCTCTAGGTAAATGCTAAGCAACTTGCCTTTGATCAATCCATGTCTTACCTATACATGTGGCCGGATGTATGAAGGGCTATTTACACCCTTCAAAAATATAAATTATAAAGGAACTTCCCCCAGGTTGAGCCTAACTAATGCAATGAATATCATAAAAGATAAAAGGGCAAAAATTTCCTGGTCGCTGAAGACTGAATAGCTGTTTATTATTGCACTGCACGCATCACCAAACATGTGGCCTCTGGGATTGCTTAGACTTTCTATACCATCAAAATTGATGATAATATTTCCCCCATAGTTAACGTGTCTCCCTCATCATCTACCTGCACGCCAGACTCAAGCACTGCAGCATCCAAAACTAGCTTCCGTTTTGCTATTTCATAAACATTCTCATCAACCGTGCCCTTTGTCACCAGTCTGCAAATGATGGAGCAGAATCAAATGATACACTTTTCAGACATAAAAAATTTGAAATATGCAAACTGGTAATAGGGAAAGAAATGATGGACGGGGTGTGCACCTGTATATCGTGACAGGCTTAGTTTGGCCAATGCGATGGCAACGATCTTCTGCCTGTCGATCAATTTGTGGGTTGAAATCCAGATCGTGTATAATTACAGTATCAGCTCCCGTCAAGTTCAAACCCTGACCCCCAGCTCTAGTGGACAGCAAGCATGCAAATATAGAAGTGTCATAATTGAAAGCATCGACTATGGTCTGTCTATCTGTCACCTGAGTACTGTCATTGGATGGAACAACTGATTAGGCTAGAAGGAATTCCAAGTGGGCATATAAACAGCAAATTAATGCAAAACTGAAAACAGAAAATGCTCAAAAGTCCAGGTAGTACAAAAGGACGACCCTCCTGGTTCCAGGATAATAAAAGAAAATTAAACTAAACTATTTTACCAAACGATGTAGAAATCTGTGATAGATATAGTTCAGTGATGGTAAATAGCACCAGATTGAATGCTAAGATCTATAGCACCATAATTTGAAAAACTTACCCAAATGAGTTTTCTAAATCGGTTTGTGCAAGGGATTTAGTAAAAATTTTGTAGTATCCTTAGCAAATACTCAACAAATGATGAAAACCATCCATTTTGCACACTAATATAAAAATAAAAAATAAAAACATGCTTCTCAACACCACTTAGAAGCAAGATGAGAAATTCCTTCAGTTGTGATCCACAGAAACAGGAACTCGGGAAGAGGACTCCGGATTGTCCTAACATGCAATGTTTTTGCATGAAATGATAAATGTCAGGCTTAAAAACTTAAATAAGAGGTCACATGCACGCCAATGATTTCCACTACAGCGCTCCCTAAATACACACAGGCCCTTCAGTGTCAACGATACAAGCAATCCAGCACATTAAAATAAATAGCTTATTAATGCAAGTTTTGAACAGTATTAGCCACAACCATTCATTGGCTAACTACATTAGATTCAGCAGGAAACCTCCACCTCATGCACTGAAAATAATGTTAACATGCTAGATGCAGAAAAGAATTGCTTCCAATCATAATAATAATGAATGTCAGAAGAGTATAGAGGCAGACCTTCCATCAAGTCTTCTATATGTAACCCCAATTACATCCAAAGTCCACTCTAGGATGTCTAGCATCGATGTCCACTGGCTAAAAATCAGAACACGATGCCCACACTTCTTCAGGTCAGGAAGAAGTTCAGCTAATGCCTGCATGATATATGAACATTGCAAATTTCAGCGCACAAAAATTAAGTTAACGAAAATCTGGTGAAATTACTCGATCCATACCCGACATTTAGCTGAAAGCATAACATACTTGTCTGAAAGAATTCCTTTTTTCTCATTCACATCATGATAGAGTAAAAGCTGCAAGAAATTGTGGAACAAATGTTACAATTCCAAATCAGAATATATAGCTGTACAAGAGCAAAAAGTACACTAGAATTTCACCAAACATATAATTTCAGGTCATTATCATAGCATTAGAAGTAAAGCTGGGAAGGACCCAGTAATAGTTGCAATTATGCAATTCACTTAGCATGGCTAAAGAATTACGCCACACATACTTTGCTGAAGTCTCTTATAAATGATGTCACTTTCACATTGATTTTGCTAAATTGATGGAATATGATTTTATTATTCACCAAAGGTGTGGGTTGTTCCCAGGGGTGGTACCTACAGCATGCTTTGGGGGGCCTGGCACTCCCAAAGTTCTAATTTTTTTTTTTTTTTTTTTTTAACATTTGGCCCATCTTCAGGTTGTCCTTATAGTTTTAAGATGGCACCCCAACTTAAAATTTTCTAGTTCCGCACCTGGATGTCAACCCACCCCCACCCCAGATAACCCTGCCCGTGCTGCTTCAGATTAGGTCACCACTATGGGCAATCCTGATCATGTACCATCATATCCAGGATTAAGTGTGATTCCAGGAGTTCTGCATCCTTGGTGAATATGGTCCCAAATGGGGAGAGTATGAAAAATTAACTTGGAATCGAAGAAACAAAACCCATAGAAACAGACATTCTTAGGCTTGACTCTACAAACTGACTTCCCCTATATAACCCAACGAACTAAAATCCCAAAAATTTATTTTACTGGGCTCAATCTTAAAAGAATGTGACAAGCCTTGCCTGCAATAACCAGAGGTGGAACCAACCTTCAGATTATGGGGTCAATTGACACCACTGAATTGGAAAAATAAATAAATAAATAACAGTACAGTAAATTTTAGTTGGAATTTAATTACTCTTTAACTATGTTTCCTTAAAAAATTTTAAAAAATATAATGACCTCACAATTTAATTTTCTCTCCTTCAAGCATTTTCTTTCCAAATGAATTGGTCCATTTTTTTGCACTGATTATTGTTTTCTTCAAGAGATTTGTCCTGTAAACCAAACTTTACTAAATTATAGAGCATCCTATGAATAAAATTCTTTTCCTAAAATATGTATTCTTTTAGTTTCTAACATAAAAGGTATCACAATTTTACTTTCACATCTTTTTTTTCTAAATTTATTTTTTTACCAACACAATTTTTTTGTATCGCAAACTTTTTCCTTTTTTCATACATTTTTCCTCTTTGTATTCTTAGGTTGGTTTTTCTAACATAATTTATTTCAATTACTAATGTCAAATGTGGTTGTTTATTTATAAACATTTCATACTTAGATATTTATTGATTTACTTGTATATTATTTTAATCTAAAGTATATCACCAATAACTAAATTATCATGCAACATTTTCAAATGTGATAAGTCATTGTATATAATTATGAAAAAAAATTATCATTTATTTGTCTCAATTTCTTTAATTTTGTATTATCTCTCATTATTAAATATTTTTTTCAAAATACTTTCAAGATATATATTTTTTTCAATATATGATGGTTATTGACAGACCCGCTGAAAAAATTCCTGAATCCACCACAGGCAATAACATTCACCTGCGTAACCATTTGATAACAGTCCAAGGATTCTCAAAATTGAAATTTGAATGAGAAATAATTACTTGCCATACATGATTATTAGAAAAACTTGAAGATACCAGCTGACTCTTATAAAATGCATTCCACATTTCATTTTTCTCTCAAATCAAAGAACTGAACTCCCATTCACAACTAACAAAATTAGCTTTGATAACATAATAGAAGAAACCTGATAAGAATTCACCTTCTAAAGGAAATATTAGAAAATACAAGAAACCTTTGATATATGATGACCCATAATCAAATTGAAAGAATGCTGACCACTATTGAATCCAAAAGTATGATAAAAAAATCCAGGAACGGGCCCCTCAGTAGACAATCTAAGGAAACTGTCCCCAGGCCCCAGTATGTTCATATCAAATATCTTGTAGTCTCAAAGACAAAATGGTCATAGTTATTGAACCAAGCAAAGGAGCTGCCCATTTCTGAACAAATGCCAGAAGTCAGCATAATCACCCCACATAAATTTAAGCATCTACTGGTGTTATTACTAACATTCTCAACCACTTTGTACAAAAAGTTGATCCAAGTTTTGAAAAAGGCAAGATTCTTCAATGCTGACATTCAGTTGCATGCCTCGTGAAAAGAACTGTATCTGACCAATCTTCAATACCCAGGCTACACAAGACCCTCCATGCCTACTAGTGCACTGCTTATCCAAAGTAAAAACAACTAACTTGTGATCTCTCTTTCACGTGAAGTAAAATGGAAACTCTGAAGTTTTTCGTAAACTATTCTAAATAATTGACCTGAGGAATTCTAGTAAATAACTATAGGCAAGCAGCCAAAGACTCTGATAATCAATACTAAGAAAATGCGAAAAAGAAAAAGGTAAACATGCAATGACATGAAATGAAAACCATGAGCTCTTAGGATAACCTACAGGATCACTCTGAAAGAGAAAAATTACCTGGTGAATTGAAAAATCGTTGTAGCTTTTGAGTTCCTCTATTACCCTTTCCAAGGTACATTCAAAGCCAAACGCACCCATTGGATGTAACTTTTTGGCAAAACGAATGACATCCCCATCACTGTAAATTCGCCTCACCAATAACGGATGATTGGCAATCTGAAATTAACATGGAAAATATGATTAACTAAAATGATAACAGAAGAAACAGAATAAATTGACAAAGAATTAAGATGATAAATGGCAGTACCTTACGGAACTGAACAAAATAATTGGAGATCTGCCGCCGTGGAAGAACTCCGACAATAGTATTTGGGTCACCTTCTGAAACCTTCGCAATACGAGCATGTGAAACTGCACGATATTCCTCTATTGCTTCTTTGTAAGCATATTCCTGATGCTTTTCCATTGAAACATACTCAACCTGTGATAGTATTACTTAGCTCTTCTATTCTTCAGAAAAACTAAAGAGACTGAAAATTCATTGTAAAATCTAAACAGAATAATTGGAGAACAGAAGATCTAAGTTGAAATTTTAAGATTCAGCATACCCGCTGTATCTTTGGAACTAGTTGTTGCATGACATCAGATTTTAAACGCCTCAAGATGAATGGTCCCAGAATAGACTTCATACGACCAATTAAATCTCCATCTTCTGCATTTAATAGCTTTTTCAAGTCCTCATCCTCAGTAGCAAAAAGATCAGGCATCATAAACTCCAATAATGACCACAGCTCCTGCAATGATTAACTCAAGTCAAGGAAAAGCACATAACCACTAGAAGAAATACAAGCATATATAAAAAATAATATCTTCAAACTGATGATTCCAATAAATTTTAGAAGACCTCCATTCTTAAGGAAAGCTGGTATCAGAAACCAAATCAGCACAAGTGCTACTAGCTACATGAAGAATAACTGATGGACTGTGTGCAATAACATAGCATGTCTGCCTCAACTAAAGTATAGCAACAATGAATTCATTGAATTTTCTCTAACATACATCTCAACCCTGTAAAAATCTTTTTTCCTTACTTCTTAAGTTATGGATACAGGAATTCAAGCATCAAGAAATTACAGGAGTATAAAATGTTTTAAGACATCAAAAGAATTTCATTGTAAGAGTGCAACAAAAAGAAACCATCTGTCCTTTCTAGCATGAACCTAATTCAATGTCACTAATTCTGAAAAAGTAAGAAGTTCAGGAAAAAAAAAAAAAAAGGACTCATTCCATATTAGTACATGTAAATCATTCTGCAGAGGTGTCCCAGTGAGCATCAAACGCTGGTTTGCATTCCTTGCAATTGACATCAGATTTTTCCACCTATAGCTGTTCTTATCCTTCAAAGCATGAGCCTCATCCATTAGAACACAGCTCCATTGCCAACGTTTCAGAATTTTACGATCATCTTTCTGCTGGGCACTGTACGATCAATGATGAGTAATGTACGTGCGTTACATACATACATGTTTTGGGGGAAAATAAAAGTACACAGATAATGACCTGATTCAGAATAAGACACACCTATGTCGCTCAAAAAGTGAGTAACAGACAAGAATCACATTAAATGGAGGTGGCAACCCAGCTTTGGCCAATGAACCCAACTCTTTCGAATAGGCAGATCGCGAAGCCCCATGATACTGGAGTACAGAAAATGATGGACACCACTTTTTCAGTTCTCTTTCCCAGTTTTCCAACAGAGAGGCAGGACACACAATTAAATGTGGACCAGGGTCGTTGTGCAAGTATTTCAACAACGTCAAATATGTAATTGCCTGTCACACAAGATCAATCTTACATCGCAACAACAAATAGGTTAACCTCATTATCACTGAAAGAAAAAAGACACATTACAAGTACCTGAATGGTCTTCCCAAGACCCATCTCATCTGCCAATATGGCTGCATGTATACAAATGTGAGTGATTATTGATCAGGAATCTTTTCAAAGCACACATAATCCGATATCCATAACCAAAAAAGACACTCTAAACTGCAGCTTGAGAATATGCATTTGATGGAATAGAAATACATCATTAGCATGAATTAACTTACGTCACTATATTTGGACCACTTAGGCTTCACTGCTAATAAGAAATGAGTCTCCTAAACAATCCATTCATGTTAAAATTTCACGATCCTGATTAGAATATTTTTTATCTCCTTTGAAAAAATGCTGCCAAAAGGAGCAATGTAATTTCAAAAGTAAAATTCAATAAATCTCAAGGTAAACGCTGTAATTTACCAAAAAAAAAATACATGAATACTTCAAACTACGTGTACACAGTTTCCCGATTAATTACCATAGTTAGTAAATCTTGGATTACAAACTATAATGTCACAATACAAATGTAACAATAGAATGTACGGGTCCTGAAAGTAGGTACGTAACAACACAATGATGATGACAAAGGAATAGTAGAATTACCTCCGCCAATGCCCTTCCGGTATAGCAGAAGAAGAAAGTTGACACCAACCAGTTGGTATGGCTTAAGGACAGGCTGGAAGTCTGAATCTGCAACGGCACACGCTGCATCAATATCATCCTGCAATAACAGAAAAGAATCCTCCAATTAAAGACAAGACCTGTCTAAGTGATGACTCAGCATGTACTGTTTGGACATGGAGAATATAGCAAAGGCAAGAGATCAGAATTATGGATCATTTTCTTTTAGTAAGGGACTACAGAATGCACATGCAGGTGCATGTGCACATACATGCATACCACGCAATCATAGATACAGAGGTCCACACCCACACAGACAGAATCATCTAGTTCAGGTAGTTAGCTTATTTGAAGCCAGATCCTGATAAACCTAATAAACAAAAGACATACAGAGAAAGATCACCATTCTGTTGTGACAATGCTCACCGTAGTACTACCATCAAGTTTAGTTAAGCTAAACAATCCAATTTTGAGAACAGCAAAAGAAGGTAACAATGAATATCAGTTCTAATTTCATTCAAACGAGAGCATATAAGAAAGTATTGCCACCCTTTTCCGGAGGGTTAACCAATACTCTACTTCAATTTTCAAGGACCTGAGAGACAGTTCTTGCAAAATAAAAAGAAAACCTTGATATAACTGGGAAAAAAAAATCAAAATTCAGCTTTTCAAAAACGAGTTACTCCAAAATGAAAACAAGAGAGTACCTGAGTAACAATCCTGACTGAAGAAGCTTCCACCTCTGCATACCGGTCGCACGAGGTCACTCCAGAGCCGTACAGCTCCCTCTTCAACTCCGCCGATATTTTAGCGCATTTTTGCAAAGCTTTACCCACCAAATCATCATCTTCTCCCGCTAATTCCTCCTCCTCCCACTCCTCCTCGCTCGATTTTATATCATAAACCTCCTCCAAATCCCCACCGCTCTCTCGCTCTTCCATCTCCTCCTCATCCTCATCATCATCGACCACGAATCGACGGCCACGATTCACTACTGATAGCCTCGTCTTCTCCTCCTCCTCCTCCTCCTCCACGTCATCATCCTCCAAATTGAAATGCTCAGTGACTTCGACACAATCGTCGTCTCCGCTGCTGGTAAAGGAGTTTTGTTGTGGTTTTTTGAAAGCAAACGATTCTAAAGGAGGAGGAAAAGAAGAGGAGGAAGAAGAATTGGATTTGCGTTTGCCGTTTTGTGTGGTTTTGAGAATGCGAGAGGGCTTGAAGGAGTGGTTAGCCCACTCGTCATCTGAGATTTCGTCGAAATCGCGTTTCATTGTGGAGAGAGGAGGGAAACAAACCCTAAATTGTTATTATTATTTTTTTAGGAATCCTAGATTTTTATTATTAATTTGGGTGCTCGAGCTTTGTTGGGAGTACAGAAGAAGCGCCATTTGTAGTTAGGCAAGTCAGAGCGGTGAAAGGAAAGAAAAAGAAAAATAAAAAAAAAGGGCGGTACATGAAAGTGACGAGAGTGGACTTGGGATATATTCGTTATTTTCCCATTTTTGCGTTTCCCTGTTTCATTATATTAAAAAAAAAAAAATTTGGTATCTTTTATAATCCATGAATTTGTATTAAAAAAAAGAAAAGAAAAGAAATACATTCCCTCTTTGAAGGTTATTAGGAGACATTTATTGTGCTTAAAATATTTTATAGTAAATACGATCAACGTAAAATGTTTTACAATTAATTTTAAAATTTAATTTATTTATTTTTTGTTAGTCTATAAGTAATAATACAAGCATCATTGCATTCATAAATTAACAGTAAAATGTTAAAAAAATTATTTTCATTCTAAATGGAAATATCCATATCATTTTTTGTAGGATTCGTTGTAGTTTTCTCTTTAACTAGTGCATTTGTTTTTTTTTTTCTTTAAAGTAAATTTAAAAAGTAACTATAAGTAGTTTGGAGTAATATAAAATTACTCAATGAAAATATTTGTATTTCCGAGGTTTTATAGATAAATTTTCTTTTTTTTTAAAAAGTTTCACAAGTCATTTGATTTCTTACCATGTTTATGTTTTTTTTTTTTTTGAGGTTTTCAAATTTTTTAAAATATATATATATTTTTTTTTTGTAGGTTCTTGAAATTTACATTTGTAGTTTTTTTTTTTTTACTATAGGATATTTTTATTAAAAAATGACTTAGAGGTATGAGATTAAAAAAAAATGTGAGTATGCAAGAGTATATATATAAGTGAAAAATTCTTTAAAAAATACACGAGATTCGCCTACAAAATACAACGATACATGAATTAGTTAATCCCAAATATCATTAGCATAATTAACCAGTTCTACTGTTTTTTTTTTTTCTTATGAAAACAAATTAACTACCTGTATGAAAAAAAATATATAAAATTTCTTATATTGAATGAACTTACATGCAACTCTCTTAAATGAATTGTATTTTTTTGTTTAAATTTTTTCTTAAATAAAAATCTACATAAAAATTCTCTTAATTAAATTTTAATTTAATTTGACTTTTTATTTTTCAATATTTTTAACATTTTATTGATCCAATTCTTTAAAATATTTTTAGTGAATTTAGTTTCATATATCTCTTTTATTTTTAAATTTTACATTGATTACTTTTTAGCAGGCAAGAAATTAGGAAGCCTGGAAGGCTCTTTACTTTCTTAAAAGAGTTCTCCCATCGGAAAGAGAATCTTACGGTCGATAGTCTTCCCTAGTCGTTTTTTTTCCCTTGCCTTTTTCCACTGGAGTTGTTTTCAAAATTAAATTATTTATTATATTTATTTAAAAATAAACCATGTGAAAACATTATTTATATTTCGATAAAAAAAAATTTTAAATTCATCCGATAAAATGTATTTTTATTTATCTTCGCTGACGTAGAGATAAATGAGAAGACCTAATTAATTGATAATAAGCATATAAAACGACGTCGGGGGTCTTGAAAGAAATTAATAGGCCATATAAATTTCAAGGGAGAGAGTGAAATTAAACCTAAACACAAAGTCATGCATTTGCCAAATATTGCTGGAGAAGTCATGGCATCTGAAGCAATATACATATATATATTCTCTCTTGAGCAGTGACTGCATATCTTTTTGGTCTCTTCCAATATATATATAAACTAGAATTTATTTCATGGAATGACCCAAAACAGTGGTACATCATCAACTTATTTCATCTATATAGAACCCCTCTGTAGGGAGGTGTCCAGTAATCAGAGCCTGCGTTTTCGTGATAAATTTGAGGGGTACATGAAATAGGAACTAAACAAAGACCTCTGCTTCTGAGATCAAGTTTTGCATCTCCCTTGTCTTTTCTATCCAAGCCTACCCAAGGATCCTGAAATAAAGCCCAGAGAATGTGTTATTGCATGCTTGAAACTCCTATCAATTAATGCACACTATATATATTGCATGCGTATGAACTAAATATTGCTTACCTTGTGTGAGTTCTTAGTCTTCATGCAAGGATTGCTCAGTAACTGCAACATATAAAGGAAAAATGCTAGCTATCAGAAAACATGTTTTTAACTCATTCAAGTAAATCAGATATATATATATATATATATAAGCTAGCTAGCCACCTAACATGGTCGTCCACTATACATCCTAATCTTTCCACCAATACCCCCTGATGATCACACTTCCTTTTCTTCCAAAAAATTTATTAAATGTGATGTCAGGATATAATTTATATTTTTTCTAATACACTCAAACTTATTTATTTATTTTTAATAAAAAAATAAGATGATATTATTCAAATTCATAATTGTTTAGTCATTAATGTTCCTATTTTCTGTTAAAAAAATTATTTCAATCCTAAAACTTGTATTTTTCTTGATATGTATTGTTAACCTTGTACGGCATACTTACATTCTAATGATTAAACAAAGGATATGTCAAGATTATATCACCTGCACCTGCACTTGCTCTTGCAATAATTGTATGTATTGAATTGCTTCATATAGCACTGAGGCAGTATCAGTCTGAAATTTAACCAAAAAGGAAAAAAAATTATAAAAAGCGGGTAGCATAATTAATGCGAGAGAAGAAGAAAAATAGAAGGAAACGGGTTTTGTCGAAAGAAAGTTGTTCATATATAATGCTCGTCATGCTTACTCACCCTCCCAAATGGCGAAACAATTTGTTGAAGGGCCGTGACTCTTTCGGAAAGCTTGACTTTTGGTGCTTGCATCTATAAAATATATAAAATAAAATAACAAAACGATCCATTATCTTTAGCTTTGGTGCGCGAACACTCTTTTAATAGGGTAGCCCTAGGCCATGATCTTAACGTTCCATCTTCACACTCAATTTTTAAAGAAGAGATAGAAAGAAATGAAGAGAGAAAAAGAGTGCTCTTATCATCTTCTGTCCCATTTATGTACCTTTACAGATGAAACTGTAGAGCTCTCATGCTTAGCTTTCTTTACAGCCGTCTCTGAAGTTTCTTCAGATCTTTTCTTCTTCCCTTCATTTGATGTTCCATGTCCTTTTCCTGTCTGCATGCAATATACATAATCAGATATATATATAATTAGCCGAGTATTTTTTGGCAAAGAAAAATTTATCATGACCATGAGGAGTAGAAACAGCACTTGCACGGACTAGAGATCGCGTGTTATCAAGAGAAAGGTTAAGCGACAATTGTATATCAATAGCTAATTAATAATAAATTCTCACCAGCGAAGAAGCTAGGAGCCCTTGCTTTCTACTATCAGATAACTTGATTGATTTAAAGCAAGGCTTAGGCACTTGAATATCAATCAGTGGCTTGCTTAATCGGTTACTAAACGTTAAAACTTCCCCAAAATTTCTTGCACTTGATCTGCTTGTAGCCTCAGGCAGGCCATAGTAGTATTTGCTGTTATCTCCTACCACTGAACTGTTAAGTCCACTATGGTATCCAACACCATTGCTATTAAATGACCGTCTAAAAGGAGCCGTAGGTCTTTCACGATGTTCGTTCTCTACTTTTCGGTCATGGCCATAACATGACTGAAAATCTGAATTTCTTGTTTCTCCCATTAAACATGGTGTGGAGTTTCTGTAAGTTTGATGCTGACTGGAGTCGTGATTTACAGAAGGGCTCAACGATATGTTGCATGTCAGTGGATCGAATAATTGGCGTTTTACTTCTGGGTTAGGCGGGGCAATAGACAAGTGGCCGACCAACTTGTTCAACTTAGTTCCATTAATTCCAATCAAGCTCTCACTGAAACCGTTTAAATGCTTTTCGAAGTTGTTAAAGGATGTGGGGTTCGTGAATTCCCAATTGTTGTCCATTTTCTTGAAGTAGTCACAAGCTGGTCCAAATATCCCAGATGAGATAGTACTAGTAGTCTTGGATGACAAAGCGTCAAGTAAGTTTTCTCCAACTTCTTGACTGTTGTCCAACTCTTCATTGCTTCCAACTCCGCTATTAGGGTTTAAAACAAATTAAAGCATTAAAATTAAGGTATTCCACTAGGAAATTAAGCAGATAGACTTAACCTTTCTTTTTGACAAGAAAGAAAAGAAACATATATATATATATATATATATATATATATATATATATATAAAAGGATGTCGAATAGAAATTCTTCCAGTATGAAGTTAATAACATGTTATTTCAAAAAGATCAAATGAAACAAAAAATAAAAACTTGAAAATATATGTAAGAATAAAAGCTTAATAATATTATACTATTAACCTCCTTCTAAGTGCACCTACCTACACATATATCCATTAAATAGCACACTATTTTCTCCCTTTTCCTTGTGCTAGCTAAAAGATTCTTCTCTCCACTCATCTTATTCAGGTATGTTTGAACACAAATTAATATAAATCAAGATTACAAATGATAGGATGGTATTTTTATATGTTAGCTTTATGCGTGTTTATTCAGCCAGGAAACATCTTTAGTATTTCTATTTACGGTGCTACGAAATAAACTTACAGTAGAATATGGCTCCAGATTTGGTTATCTGAAGCATGTTCTCCCATCAATTCGGTTGATGAAGCAGGCTCAACAAGTTGGCGAGCGGACTCAACGGTTAGTCCAGAGTGATTAGAAGCATTAGTAAAGGATGTAGACATGGAAAGATCCTCTTCACAAGAGGAGTTAGAGCTAGGGTTTGACAGTTGGTGCCATGGACTGGTAGGAGTCCATGAAGAGAGTGAGGTTGCATGGTGAAGATCCCACCAGTTTAGTGGCGTAGAGGAAGAGATTGCCACGGTGCTATCAGTGCATTCTTGAGCCATATCAACGTCTTTCAGATTAAAAAGGTTATATTGAAGCCTCTTTTTTCTTTTTCTTTCTGTTGGTGGAGGTGTGAATTTAAGGAGGATAAACCCCATTTCATTGGTGATGACGTACGATTTATAGGTTATACATCAATCATAGAGGAGACAATAAAATATGCAACCTGAATTTCTACCACTAAGTTTGTGGGCAATTATTATATTGAGGGCTGGGCCAGGAAGAGTTTGGCTCAGAATTGCTAATGTAGGGTTGTTGGACAAGTTTGGTTAAGGCTTTATTGTCTTATTGGACAGGACTGAGAGCTTCTCTCTCCGCGTGAGATATAACCAATTTTTGTATGGATAAGGTGCATGACACTCCTGGCTCATAAGCGAAAGGAGGGGTACAAAGAATGCTTTTCTTTCAAAAACTTGTACAAGAGAAATGCCAATTTGCCAATTTGATCTTAATGGCTCCATTTTGATAATGGGGTGGCCAGTGGTGTTTTATAGTTATAGAGGAAGAAATGGCCACGTGTACCACAAAGAACAGATGAAAGGAACGGAAACTTAACTTGAGCCTGGATTGTGGAGTGAAAATATTATGTAAAGCCTAGAAATCGAACTATAGAAACCATGAGGGGTTTTAAAATAGAAATACATGGAGAATGGGAAGGGTGGTCTTTTCTTTTGCTTTTCATTTGCTATCAGCCTATCACCATGAAAGGCCTTGAGTGATAGCTTTTTGTGCCACTGTGTGTCCTTTGCTTCAATTTTGCATGCCATAAAAAAATTAAGTCCTTTGCCTACCTACGTCCTTCTGGTTTCAAAATATCAACTGTTTTTCTTCTTGATATATTTATTTATTTTCAATCCTTTAATATTTTGTTCTTCACCTGCAAGACGCAATTACGAAATGAGAACTACTGCTACATGAATTATTGTTATTGATTATCTTTAATTACTCGATCTAGCTATAGTCAGGCTTTATAAAGCATTTCAAGTTCCGTGATTCGTGATATATAACATGTATTTTCCTTCGACAATGGCAATCGGAAATTGTTTAATTTGCACCTTAATGATGTCCTATCACATAAAGATCCCTGAATAGCATTAGCCACATACATGGAGAAGAAATATCGGGCTTTGTCTAGGGATACAACAGCACCAGGGCAGGACTAGCTATTGGGCATTTCAAATCACACACCCTGCCATATTAAATAGGACTCAAACTGTCATTTTACCAGAAAATAGAAACAATTGCATTTCAATTTTTTGTTGCTGAGCCCGGATCGATTCTCAAAGCACTAACTAGCTAGAAATTAAAGGAACTTTGTCCTTTTTGCTCTACCGGGGAAAGTAGATGTTGTTTGGGACAAATATTTTCCCGTCTCTATTTGTTTGCACCCTTTTGTTCCTTGTACGTATTTAATCATGTCTGAGCTAAATTGAATCTATTAAATTCTGACTTCTATCTCCCGAAAGAAAGAAAGCTAGCAATGACATGGAAAGCATGATACGAGAAAGATGCAAAAAAAAAAAAAAAAAGAATGTAAACCAATTCGAGAGATCGACAAAAACAATGATGACATTATTTAATAATTGCCTACTCAAATCGTTCCCACATGAATGTATTTCACCTATACTTTGTTTCATTTCAATTATCTTTTACAATGTTACCGCTACGTAATTTCTCTCAAAAAAGAAAAAAAAGAAAGAAAAAAGAATGTCTATTGACCATCAAGTGCCCGTAACTTGTAACTGAATCTTCTTATTCGACCAACAACATTCTAGAATCATATCATTCACTAACTTGTTCCTTGAATGAAATTCAATTGCCTGTCCACCAAAAGCATTGACCTAACTAGGGTTTCATTGAGTGTGAGTTTGAAAACATATTTTTGATGTTTCATTCAGAAAAGGAAAACCGAAAATGGATCTGAAAATTGATTTTTGAACAGATAGTTATTTTTTTCAAGATTCATATGGTGAAAATTTATTAAAGAACAAATTATTTTTAAAGGAAAGCAAAAAAGAATAACAAAACAAACATGGTCGTGGGTGCCAGGCCAACCCACTTAAGCCTGCCAACCTAAGCTCCCGTGTGCGGCCTAGAAGCAAACAAAACAGCTTTGTTTCAACAAGAAAAAACAAAAAGTTACTTCTTTCTTTTTGTTTTTTATTTTTTTTCAAATTTGCAAAACGAGTTTTGTGTCTCCAATGGTTCATCGTTCAAAATGAACAGTACTAACCCTTCTGGAGTTTCTAATCGCTCCCTTAGCCTCATGATATATAAAACATATTTTTATTCAGTTATGACATAATTCCTTATGGCATACCAAGTCAAAAATTTCTTTCGAATTATAAATCGTTTAATTTTGTACGAGTTGAACAAAAAAATTTTTTGTCCAAATTTAAATAAATTAAACATGCACTACATAAAAAAACCTTCAAATAGCGACGAATAAACTTTCATCGTTAAATAATAAGCAAATGGCGATAGAATAGTGTATATTAGAACCATCAATGAAATAGAGACAAATTAGTAACGGTTTATTAGCTAGCGAGGGATACCAATCTATCGCTAAATTTGACGATAGAAATGTTTTTGGGAGTTTTAGAGACGGATTTGCTAGGGAATATAGTGACGAAATTGCTTATCGATTGGTATTTTCAATATCCGGATTTAGCAACAAAATATTCGTCATTAATATAAATATTCCTCACAAATTAGCAACGAAAATGTTCATCTCTAAATTAACTTGAAATATTGGACGAATTTTTTAAAAATCAAAACCGTTAAATTAGCGACAGATTAGCCATGGACAATAACGTCCATCGCTATATGTTAAAAAAAGGGTGGCCAACTTTGCCTCGTTTTTTTATAGATAAGCGACGGACATAAGTGGATATCGCATCCCTTGTTATTTTTTAATCTCTAATCATACCTCTTTCTTCTTTTCCTCCCCCATTTTCTTCTTCCTCTCCTTATCCAACCAATCACCAATCTCCCCCTCTTTCAAACCACAATCAAACTTCACTCCTCCACTCTCAATTAATCCACACCCACTTCAAGCTCTTTTCTCTCAAACAAATCATTGTTTTTTCTTTCTTCCATTCTCTTGGTGTAATTCCATCCAAATTAGGTAAGTTTTTTCTCTTTTTTTATTTTCTTAATTAAAGTTAGTAGATTATTGTGATTGTTAGGTTAATTTTAAATTTAATTGCTTGATTTATAATTTTGTATATATTCAATTATTATTTTATTGATTTATTCATTAAATTGTTAATTTTTGTTAATTGTTAGGTTAATTAGTTGATTAATTTGTTAAATTGTTAAATTTTGTTAATTGTTAGGTAAAATTATTAATTAATTTTTATTTAAATTTAATCGACATTATTTTTAATTAATTAAGTTAATTTTATTCATGTTTAGTTAATTAATTAGGTTTATTTTGTTTAATTGGTTGAATTTTATTTTTATGTATATTTGAAATTATTAATTAATTATTATTTTAAATTTAATTTGGTTAGAATTAGAATTAATTAAGTTAATTTGATTTAAGTTTAATTAATTAATTAGGTTAATTTTTTTAAATTAGTTGAATTTTAACTTTATTTAAGTTGGAAATTGTTAATTAATTATTATTTTAAATTTAATTTGTTTAGAATTAGAATTAATTAAGTTAATTTGATTATATTTAATTAATTAATTAGGTTAATTTTTTTAATTTATTGAATTATAATTTTATTTATTTTAAAACTTATTAATTTATTTTATTTTAAAATTAATTAGGTTATAATCAAAATTAATTAATTTAATTATTTCTTATGTAATTATTAAAGTGTGTCGAGATACACAATAGTGTATTAAACTCGAGGGGTTGAAGACCTTTGGAAATTGTGAAGAAATAAGGTTAGTTCAAAGCTTTGTAATAGATTTAGGAGGACAAGTTTGAAATTTAATTTCAATAAAGTATCCGAGACAATTGCTCATCTCGGTGTGCACAAATTGATTGTTGGTTCGGGTAATTTCAATGTTTGTGTGATCATTTAGAGTATTTGTTAATTGAAAAAAAAGCATTATTTACAAGGGAGACATATCAAAATTTTGTATGATTTATAATATATTTTCGATCAAATTGTTATTCATTTGTTAAAGCTGTTTCGAGTGTTATTCTTAAGTCATGCCTTGTAAATTAGGCGAGATCTTATCACGGTGTCGGTGTTTGTGCCTCCGATGTTAATTATGCGACTAATAAGGGTTGTATATATGGATGTGGTACTCCTAGTGTAAGTGTCCAAGGCTGCGGACTTCAAGTGGTGTCGGCACTTCGCATCCCCTCCGGTAGTGCCCCCTGTTGTGGATGTCCTTACGACGGTTCCTTCGACTCCAAAAAGTTCTACTTGGATCTAATGATGGATTGATCATTTGGGTCATGAATAATTGATAACTAATATATTTTACATATGATAATTAATTTTATATTTTCATATATTATATTAGAATCATTAATTCACTTATTTACTATTTATTTATTTATTTATTTTATTCAATGATTTGCTTCCATCAAGCAAGTGTTCTAAAAAAATCGCTGTAATTTTCAAGAAGCGAGTTGGACATCTTTGGCTCTATATGGAAGTCTATCTTCATGGATATGAAAGACTTCTACTTTAATGAGTAGGATAATATGTTAATTATTTGTTTATATTTCATTTCAATTGTTAATTAAACATGAAGAGTACTAATATTATTTTTTTTCTTCATATAGAAGTGTTTTTTATGGGATGCGGCCATCGACATGCTAATTAAGGATGTGTAGGAGAGTCCGACATGGAGGTGATACGACGACATGCTTAACAAGTCGAAGCATAACAAACCTGTATTTATTGAACATGAGATATGAGAAGCATGGTGGGATTGGGCTACTCCCGAGTATTAGGTTCAATCTCAATAGGCGTTTCGAAACCATATGTCGGAGATGAGTCGTGTCGATACTTGGTCCATCCAAGCATATTGA